TAATCTGTATCATTATCATTATCCTTATATCAGTTTTTTATTATCATCATATTATCATTACTATCATTATTATTAGTAGTTATAGATTAAACATTCGATAATCTGTATCATTATCATTATCCCTGTGTTAGCTTTTTCTTTATCATCATCATATTATCACTACTAGCATGTGTAGGAGCAGATGCAGTGGCAGGAGGGGCGGGGAGGGGAGGAGCGGAGGAAGGAGGAGGAGGGAACGGAGCCAGGAGCTAGGAAGAGGGGAGGGATGAGAAGTAGTGAGAACAGGCAGCAGGCGACGAACCGAGGAGAGAGGAGGGAGGAGAAAAAAACAGGGCAGGAGGAGAAAAGAGAGCAGACAGGAGGAAGCGGGAGGGAGGAGAGGAGGAGGGGAATAGCAAGAGCGAGGAGGGAGGAGGAGGGAAGAAAGAGGGAAAGGAGCGAGAAGGAGTAAGCAGGAGGAGGACGGAGAAACAGGCGAGGGGAGGAGCAGAAGAGGAAGGAGGAAGAAGCAGACAGGAGCAAGTGAGAAGCAGGCAGAGGAGGAGCGAAGGAGAAGCAGAAGGAGGAGGAGGAGAGGAAAGAAGGAAGGAGCAGAGGAGTAGGAAGAGGGACAGGAGGCGCAGAGCAGACAGGAGCGAAGAGGAGCAGGAGGAAAGCGGAGCAAGAGGAGCAGAAGGAGGAGGGGAGCAGGCTTAGGAGGGCAGAAGCAGGAGCAGCAGTGGAGAGGAGCAGAGGAGCAGGAGGAGAGGAGAGAAGCAGGAGGAGAGAGGAGCAGGAGAAAGGGAAGAGAAGGAGGGCAGAAGGAGGAAGGCAGGAGGAGTAGGAAGGAGCAGAGAAGGAGCGAAGGAGGAGGAGGAGGAGCAGGAAGGAGGAGCGCAGCACGGGAGGAGGAAGCAGAAGGGAAGAGGAGGAGGAGCAGAGTACAGGAGGAGAGCAGGGCCAGGAGCAGAAAGGAGGAGGAGGAGGAAAGGCAAGGGAGGAGGAGGAGGGAGCAGGAGGAGGAGTAGGAGGAGCAGGAGGAGAGGAGGGCAGAAGGGAGAGGGGCACAGGAGAGCAGAGGGAGGAGGAGGAGGAGGAGGAGGAGGAGGAGGAGGAGGAAGCA